AGGAGGCTGAGGCGGGAGAATCACTTGAACCCAGGAGGTGGAGGCTGTAGTGAGCTGATGAGATAGCACCACTGCACTCTAGCCTGGGTGGCAGGGTAAGACTCTGTCTCAAAAAAAAAGAAACAAATAAGAAAACACACAAAGTGTTAGGTTTATAGGCATCAGCCACCATCCCCGGCCAAGCTATTTTTTTTACATTAAAAAATCAAGGATTGCCAGGCGCGGTGGCTCAAGCCTGTAATCCTAGAACTTTGGGAGGCCGAGCGGGTGGATCACGAGGTCAAGAGATCGAGACCATCCTGGTCAACATGGTGAAACCCCGTCTCTACTAAAAATACAAAAAATTAGCTGGGCATGGTGGCACGTGCCTGTAATCCCAGCTACTCAGGAGGTTGAGGCAGGAGAATTGCCTGAACCCAGGAGGCGGAGGCTGCAGTGAGCCGAGATCACGCCATTGCACTCCAGCCTGGGTAACAAGAGTGAAACTCCGTCTCAAAAAAAAAAAAAAAAAAAAAAAAAAACATCAAGGATTTTATAGCTATAAAACTATAAAGTATTAAACAGTGGTTGAGCATCTCTTCGCTGTGTTGTCACTGCATCCTACTCTGTGATATAATTTCCTAATTACAGGCCGGGCGCGGTGGCTCAAGCCTGTAATCCCAGCACTTTGGGAGGCCGAGGCGGGCGGATCACAAGGTCAAGAGATCAAGACCATCCTGGTCAACATGGTGAAACCCCGTCTCTACTAAAGCTACAAAAAATTAGCTGGGCATGGTGGCGCGTGCCTGTAATCCCAGCTACTCAGGAGGCTGAGGCAGGAGAATTGCCTGAACCCAGGAGGCGGAGGTTGCGGTGAGCCGAGATCGCGCCATTGCACTCCAGCCTGGGTAACAAGAGCGAAACTCCGTCTTCTGCAGATCAGAAAGCGTCGTGAAAAAAAATTTCCTAATTACTTGTTGAAATCTCCACTGGAGTCTGAAGTCCCTGAGGCAGGGATAGTATTTTGTTCAAGGTTGCATTCTTAGCATCCAGGAAAGGGACTGGCATGCAGTAGGTACCCAGTAAAATACATTTATTTATTTTAAAATAAAATTTGCTGATTGAATGGATGGGTGGGTAGATGGATGAATAGATGGTAAGTCAGCCTGTTCTTATGGCCTTGGTGTAAAATCATAAATCACCAATATTTGATTCCAGACTTCAGTCATGTCTAATCCAAAGCATTGTCAACGTCTTCCCCAATTTTAATGTTTTCTTGCTCCCAGGGGCACTGTCAGGTTAGGGTAACATAAATGGCTATAATATTTGTCACCCTGTGGGAGAGAGGTGCTAATTTCAGAAATTAGAGAATCTGTGTAACAAAGAATCAAAAATACTACCTCATTTAACCTCGGGTTTTCATTTTTCACTGGTAAAGAACTGGAATTCTCTGAGTTTTTGAAAAAGTTTGGCTGCTTTTGGAGAGTAGAAGCAAATCCTGCCCTTTCCTAGAAGGATTGAGTGAAAAGAGAATCTTTTTTTCAATTGATCTATTCAAAATTGATTTATTCAACAGCAAAACTTCTAGCTCTGAAAGCACTTCTGTCTTTAGAAAGCAGAGGGTATGGTGTGAGTGTGGCAGCTTGGAGAAAGATTGATGAGCTATCCAGGTGTCTTAGTCTGGACCAGGCCTGGCCCCCAGCCACCCATCTACTCCAGACTAGCTCTAGCCACTACCATTCCAGTACCTCTTCTTTCCTCTGGCAATTCAGACTTGGCTAAAACCCAGACTCCTATGCCAGAGTGTAGGCCAAAACCTGCTCAGAGACGTCCAGAGGGTCCTTGGAAGGGTTCTGATGCCAAAACAGAAAGTCTCCCCCCCCCCAATCTCCATCCCCTTTTTGGTTTAGAGTAAACTTAACCCCCTTTCTTTCTCCCTCTATGGAATACTCTGTAATCAGAAAGTAGAAATAGCCAGCAAGGCTTTCTTACTGCGGTATCTTCTGTTAACTTTAACTTCCGCATCAAATTTTTTCTCTGATACTGCTCATTTCGCTGTTTCCTAGTCTGAAGTGACTTCTTTTTTTTCCTCTTGAGCATCTTCTTCTTCTGATTCAGCTATTCCAGAAAGTAGACACTGGTCACTGAGGATTCCAGAACTAGGCCCATCCACATGTGGCACTCTTCATACAACACTCGAGACATAGGCTAACTCAGTATGCAGCCTCGTGGTGTTGGTTTGGAGTGCTGGCATTACAGGAGTGAGCCACCGTGCCCAGCCATGTCATGATTTTTTTAAGGCTGCTATTTCTTGCATATAAGAGTTCAGCTTACCTCATCTGCTATGTTTGCTAGGTGAACAGGAAGACCATCTGAGAGAGAACTGTCAGAGCCACTGGTACTGTTTCCAAAAGAAAAAAAGAAGAGGAAATAGCTGTCATTGATAAGTGTAGAAAGCATAACATTTACCACAGTAGCCGTATGGGATTAGGATTAGGAGATCTTCTAGTCTACTATATTATTTTCTTCTTTTTTTATATTTTTGAGATAGGGTCTCACTCTATCACCCAGGCTGGAGTGCAGTATTGTGATCATAGCTCACTGCAGCCTTGAGCTCCTGGGCTCAAGAGATCCTCCCACCTCAGTCTTCTGAGGAGCTGGGACTACAGGCTTGCGCCACCATGGCTGGTTAATTTTTAAAATTCTTGTAGACAAGGGATTGCCTGTGTTGTTGCCTGGGCTGGTCTTGAACTTTTGTGTTCAAGTGATCTTCCTGCCTCAGCCTCCTAAAGTGCTGAGATTATAGGTATGAGCAACTGCAACTGCACCCAAACAGTTACTAAGAATTCTTGATGGTCGGGCATGGTGGTGCATGCCTGTAATTCCAGCACTTTGGGAGGTTGAGATGGGTGGATCAGCTGAGGTCAGGAGTTTAAGACCACCCTGACTACATGGTGAAACCCCATCTCCACTAAATACAAAAAAATTAGCCAGGTGTGGTGATGCGTGCCTGTAGTCCCAGCTAAGGCTGAGGCAGGAGAATAGCTTAAACCTGGGAGGCAGAGATTGCAGTGAGTGGAGATCATGCCATTGCACTCCAGCCTGGGCAACAAAAGTGAAACTCTGTCTCAAAAAAAAAGAATTCTTGACAAGCACATTCATTCATTCACTCTGAACACCTACGGCCTGCCAGGCAGTGTGTTAGACAAAGGAAACACAGATGAACAAGGCAGAGCCACTGGCACCAAAGACTCTGCAATCTATATGGCAAAGCAAATACGGGCCAGATGGGCAAAGTCACCCTTGGTGGAAGTTGTGGGAGGCCACAGGATTCTCAATGTGCAGGCCTACAGAACAGCAGAGGACTGTGATTTGTTTAAAAACGAGGGATCTTTCTCATTCACTCCTCTTTGGCTGGTACCAATTCAGAAAGTAATCCCAGCATTTTCGGAGGCCGAGATGGGTGGCTCACAAGGTAAGGAGTTCAAGACCAGCCTGGCCAACATGGTGAAACCCCGTTTCTACTAAAAATTCAAAAATTAGCCGGGTTTGGTAGCAGGGGCCAGTAATCCCAGTTACTCGGGAGGCGGAGGTAGGAGAATAGCTTGAACCTGAGAGGTGGAGGTTGCAGTGAGCCAAGATTGTGCCATTGCACTCCAGCCTGGGTGACAAGAGGAAGACTCCATCTCAAAAAACAAAACAAAACAAAACAAAAAACAAAAACAAGAAATCCAGGATCCTAAGGAGGTACTCTGAAAAAATGTATTCAATAAATAAACAAATACATTTAATAAAGAATCTGAGCATGGAAGACAAAGTAAGACGCTGTCTCTACCAAAAAAAAAAATAATTAGTGAGCAGTGGTGGTACCTGTCGCCTGTGGTCCCAGACACTTGGGAGGCTGAGGTAGGAGGACCACTTGTGCCCAGGAGGTTGAGGCTGCAGTGAGCCGAGACTGTGCCACTGTACTCCAGACTGAGCAACAGGGCAAGAACCTATCTCAAAAAATAAATAAATAACAAAAAGAACCTTCAGGTCACAGACTAAGATTACTTTTATCACCCCAATTTTCCTTCAAAAGTTTTGGATGAGGCCAGGCATGGTGGCTCATGCCTATAATCCCCACACTTTGGGAGGCCAACGCAGGAGGGATCGCTTGAGGCCCAGAATTAAAGACCAGACTAGGCAACACAGTGATACCTGTCTCTATTTAAAAAAAAAAAAAAAAATTGGCCGGGCGCAGTGGCTCAAGCCTGTAATCCCAGCACTTTGGGAGGCCAAGGCGGGCAGATCACTAGGTCAAGAGATGGAGACCATCCTGGCAAACACAGTGAAACCCCATCTCTACTAAAAATATAAAAAAAATTAGCCGGGCGTGGTGGCATGCACCTGTGGTCCCAGCCTCAGCTTCTGCTGAGGCGGAAGAATCACTTGAGCCCAGGAGGCCAAGGCTGCAGTGAGCTGAGATTGCGCCACTGCACTCCAGCCTGGTGACAGAGCAAGACTCCGTCTCAAAAAAAAAAAAAAAAAAAATTATCCCACGAGGGGCGTGCCCTGCCGCATGCTGGGACTGGGGTTCGATGTAGAGTGCCCCTCATCCTGGGAAATGGGGTGTGGCCAGAAAGGCGGCCACCCCTTTTTAAAACAAACAAGTTGGCTGGGCACAGTGGCTCACACCTGTAATCCCAGCACGTTGGAAGGCTGAGGCTCAAAGATCTCTTGAGCCCAGGAATTTGAGACCAGCCTGGGCAACATGGCAAAACCCTGTATCTATAAGAAAAAATACAAAATTTGCCAGGTGTGGTGATGTGTGCCTATAGTTCCAGCTACTGGGGAGGGTAAGCTGGGAGAATCACTTGAGTCCAGGAGCTTGAGGCTATAGTGAGCTGTGATTGTGCCACTGACTCTAGCCTGGGTGACAGAGCGGCACCCTTTCTAAAAAAAAGTTTTGGATGCTCATGTAGACTAATCTAAAGTCTTCCCTCACAAACTGTGTCTTCCCCCTTTCTGCAAAGGCTAAGATGAATGAAAACTCAAATAATTAATCCTTTCTTTCTTTGTGTCTTTTGCTTAAATGTCACATTATATTTTCCCCTTTCCTGGGGTTCGGTTGGCTAGAACTGAGAGCTTTTCTCTATGACAGGGGGTCTATACATAGAAACTTTATTGGCACAAGGCCAGGCACAGTGGCTCATGCCTGTAATCCCCACACTTTGGGAGGCCAAGATGGGCAGACCACTTGAGGTCAGGAGTTTGAGACAAGCCTGGCCAACATTGTGAAACTCCATCTCTATTAAAAATACAAAAAAAAAAATTTTTTTAGTTGGGCATAGTAGCAGGTGCCTGTAATTCTGGCTACTTGGGAGACTGAGGCATGAGAATTGCTTGAACCCGGAGGGTGGAGATTACAATGATGCAGTGAGCTGAGATTGTGCCACTGTACTCCAGCCTGGGTGACAGAGTGAGTCTCCGTCTCAAACAAAACAAAACACCAAACATTTATTGGCACAGAGCTCAAATCACATGGGAAAAGTCAGCATTGCAAACCAGTCAGCTGCCCAGCCCTTCATTCTGTTTCTGCTCCCTTGCTCTTCTCAGTGTACAATGAGTAGTCACACTGCAAGAGAGCAGGAAGAAAACCCCATCTTCTCTGATGTAATTCCCAATTCCCTGTTCCCACTAGGTTTTTCTAGTCAAGGACACCAGAAGTTCCGTTGGTGAAAAAATTTATGGGACAAAAGCACTAAAAGCAGTATGTCCCAGAAAGTGTCAAAACCTGTGTGTACACACACAGAGCAAACTCAAACTGGGATTGTACACTCACAGTCTGCTTTTCTTTGCAATTGAGAATGAATAGGTGGAACCCCACTGGAGGCTTGTAACAGCCAATGTCCTGAGGCAGAGCCTGGCAAATTGGTTTCCATAATTCTTTCTTTTTTTTTTTAAGATGGAGTCTCACTTTGTTGCCCAGGCAGTTCAGTGGTGCAATCTCGGCTCACTACAACCTCTGCCTCCCAGGTTCATGTGATTCTCCTGCCTCAGCCTCTTGAGGAGCTGGGATTACAAGCACATGTCACCACACTGGCTTATTTTTTGTAGTTTTAGTAGAGAAGGGGTTTCACTGTGTTAGCCATGGTGGTCTTGATCTCCTGACCTCATGATCTGCCTGCCTCAGCCTCCCAAAGTGCTGGGATTGGGTGTGAGCCACTGTGCCTGGCTGGTTTCAGTAATTCTTAACCATATGCATGAGAGTGTCCCTGCTGAGCCACTAGAATGCAGAGTCTGCCTGTTTCTGAGTTGATTCCTCCTGTGGTTGGGAATTCGACACCAGCCTGACCAACATGGAGAAACCGTGTCTTTACTAAAAATACAAAATTAGCCAGGCATGGTGGTGAATGCCTCTAATCCCAGCTACACTGGAGGCTGAGGCAGAAGAATTGCTTGAACTTGGGAGGCGGAGGCTGTGGTGAGCCGAGATTGCGCCATTGCACTCCAGCCTGGGCAACAAGAGCGAGACTCTGTCTCAACAAAAAACAAAACAAAACAAAACAAAAAAACAGATAAATGATATGATCTGATTTAGGTTTTTAAAAAAATCATTCTTCTGTTTTTTTTCAACCTTGCTAGTCCCTTCTTCTTAGTCACTTATGCTGGGTACTCCCCTATTAAAGTTGTATTGTCCAGCTGAAACCTCAGACTTGGACTTCTCTGTCTGCACTAACGTCCTTGAGATCCCACCCAGTAGTTGTTGTTGCTGTTGTTGTTGTTTTGTCTGACTCTGTAGCCCAGGTTGGTGTATAGTAGTGTAGCCATGGCTCACTGCAACCTTGAACTCCTGAGCTCAGCAATCCTCCTGCCTCAGCTTCTTGGGTAGCTAGGACTACAGATGCACGCCCTTACCCCTGCTGTTTTTTGGGTTTTTTTTTTTGAGACAGAGTCTCGCTTTGTCACTCAGACTGAAATGCAGTGGTGCAATCCTGGCTCATGGCAACCTCCACCTCCAGGGTTCAGGCGATCCTCCCTCCCTCCTCAGCCTCTAGAGTAGCTGGGATTACAGGCATGTGCCACCACATCTGGCTAATTTTTGTATTTTTAGTAGAATGGGGTTTCATCATGTTGGTCAAGCTGGTCTTGGACTCCTGACCTCAAGTGATCCGCCTGCCTCGGCTTCCCAAAGTACTGGGATTACAGGTGTGAGCCACCATGCCTGGCCCTCTGTTAAAGTTGAAATATCTACCTGGCTGGGCATGGTGGCTCCCGGTTGTAATCCCAGTAATTTGGGAGGCTGAGGCAGGTGGATCCCTTGAGTCCAGTAGTTAGATACCAGTCTGGGCAACATGGCAAAACCTGTTCTCTATAAAAAAAAAAAATACAGGCCGGGCGCGGTGGCTCACGCCTGTAATCCCAGCACTTTGGGAGGCCGAGGTGGGTGGATCACGAGGTCAAGAGATCGAGACCATCCTGGTCAAAATGGTGAAACGCCGTCTCTACTAAAAATACAAAAAAAAATTAGCTGGGCATGGTGGCACGTGCCTGTAATCCCAGCTACTGAGGAGGCTGAGGCAGGAGAATTGCCTGAACCCAGGAGGCGGAGGTTGCGGTGAGCCGAGATTGTGCCATTGCACTCCAGCCTGGGTAACAAGAGCGAAACTCCGACTCAAAAAAAAAAAAAAAAAATACAAAAACTAACTGGGTGTGATGGTACACACCTGCAGTCTCAGCTACTTGGGGAGCTGAGGCAGGAAGATTGCTTGAGCTCAGGAAGTTGAGGATGCAGTGAGCAGAGACTGCACCACTGCACTTTAGCCTGGGTGGAGAGCAAGACCCTGTCTCAAGAAAAAAAATCATCTATCCAATGACGACCCTCTGCACCAATCCACTGGACCTCTCCACTGAACTCCAGACCCATATATCCTACTGTTTGTTCAATAACTCCACTAAATACATAATGGGCATTACAAACTTAACAAGTTTAACGCCAGACTCCTGATCTTCACTATCTCGCTATTTGCACTCCTTTGATCTTTCCCATGTCAGCTAAAGGCAACTCCATCCAACCAATCGTGGAGTCATTCTCTTCTTCTTCTTTTTTTTTTTTTTAATTATGGAGTCTTACTCTGTCGCTCAGGCTGAGTGCAGTGGTGCCATCTTGGCTCACTGCAACTTACACCTCCCAGGTTCAAGCAATTCTCCTGCCTCAGCCTCCTGAGTAGCTGGAATTACAGGCACGCGCCAATACATCCGGCTAATTTTTGTATTTTTAGTAAAGATGGGGTTTCACCATGTTGGTCAGGTTGGTCTCAAACTCCTGACCTCATGATCTGCCGGCCTCGGCTTCCCAAAGTGCTGGGATTACAGGCGTGAGCCACCACGCGTGGCCCATTCTCTTCTTTTCTCATGCCCCATAGCCAATCATAGACAAATCCTAATGTTTATAATTTCAAAATATAGCTAGAATCCAACCAATCCACACATCCCCCTGCAACCACTACTGGTACTCCGGTCTAAGCTCCTATTACCTTTTACCTGTATTATTGCAAGAGCCTCCTATGGACTCTCCCTGATTAGAACTTTTGTCTTTATGATCTATTTTTCACACAGCCAGTGTTCCTGTTGAAACTAAAATCTGTCACACTAGTTGCCTACAAGACCCTAAACAAACGGCCTGCCCAACTCCCTACGCTTTTCTAATGCCTAAAACAGAGACTGGCAAAGAGTATGCACTTTTTTGTTGTTGTTGATGTTTCTGAGCCTGTCCTCAGGCTCGAGTGCAGTGGCATGATCTTGGCTCACTGTAGTCTTAACTTCCTGGGTTCAGGTGATCCTCCCACCTCAGCCTCTCCAGTAGCTGGGACTACAGGCGTGCACCACCCAGCCCAGCTAATTTTTTATTTTTTGTAAAGACAAGATCTCACTATATCACCCAGGCTAACAACAAATTATTCAAAATAAAACAAAAGAAAACCCTGGTTTTTCTTTGTTACCTGGATTCAATGTCAGACAAAGAGATATCACTCCAACTTCCTTCTAAATCTTTATCTCGTCCAAGTTCATTGAATTTCTTGTGTATTTTCTGTTGTAAAAGCTCCTTAAGCTCTGCTAGACACTGAGTGAACTATAAAAGTGAAAAAAAAGAACTATTTTGACAATTCATTTTATTTTATTTATTTATTTATTTATTTTTTTGAGATGGAGTTTCGCTCTTGTTGCCCAGGCTGGAGTGCAATGGTGTGATCTCGACTCACTGCAACCTCTGCCTTCTGGGTTCAAGCGATTCTCCTGCCTCAGCCTCCTACATAGCTGAAATTACAGGCATGTGCCACCAAAACCAGTTAATTTTATATTTTTAGTAGAGATGGGGTTTCAATATGTTGGTCAGGCTGGTCTCGAACTCCTGGCCTCAGGTGATCCACCCACCTCGGCCTCCCAAATTGCTGAGATTACAGGGGCAAGCCATCACGCCTGGTCCATTTTATTTATTCATCAAGTATTTACTAAGTAAATGCTGAAAGGCATTTTATTTATTGCCGGGAACAAAAAGATGAATAATCTGCATTCCTGCTATTAAGAACATGTTAACGGATAAATTACATAAGCTGGAGGAACAGATAAACATTTTTTTAGGGCAGAACATCAATGAGCACTGCTGTAGCCACTTTTCTCTGGCTATAGCCAACTTCTTTTTTTTTTTTCTGAGACAGAGTCTCACTCTGTTGCCAGGCTGGAGCACAGTGGTGCGATCTCGGTTCACGGCAACCTCCGCCTCCTGGGTTCAAGTGATTCTCCTGCCTCAGCCTCCAGAATAGCTGGGACTACAGGTGTGCGCCATGACGATGCCCACCTAATTTTTTTTTTTTTTGAGACAGAGTCTCGGTTTGTGGCCAGGTGCCAGGCTGGAGTGCAGTGGCACAATCTCGGCTCACTGCAACCTCCACCTCCTGAGTTCAAGCAGTTCTCCTGCCTCAGCCTCCCAAGTAGCTGGGACTATAGGCGTGCCACCATACCCAGCTAATTTTTGTATTTTTTTAGTAGAGGCAGGGTTTCACCATGTTGGCCAGGATGGTCTCGATCTCTTGACCTCGTGATCTGCCCGCCTTGGCCTCCCAAAGTGCTGGGATTACAGGTGTAAGCCACCGCGCCTGGCCTATTTTATTTTTTTATTTATTAATTTTATTAGAGATGGGGTTTCATCATGTTGGTCAGCTTATTTTTTTTTTTTTTTAGAGACAGGATGTCACCCAGGCTGAAGTGCAGTGGCACAATCATGGCTCACTGCAGCCTTAACCTCCCAGGCTCAAGCCTCCGAACCCCAGCCTCCCCAGTAGCTGGGATTACAAACACATGCCACCACATCTGGCTAATTTTTCTATTTTTTTGTAGAGACAGTCTCGCTTTGTTGCTCAAGCTAATTTCCAAGTTTTGGGCTCAAGTGATCACCTGCCTCAGCCTCCCAAAGTGCTGGGATTATAAGCATGAGCCACTGTACACTATTTATTTTTATTTTTTTGCCCTTTGTTGCCTTTCAAAACATACCCTACTTATTTTATTTTTTGATGTAACAAGGAAGGAAAAGTTAGAATGAGGTTATTCAGATTTTGACCCATGGAAAATATGGTTTAACAGACTGTGTTGTGGTTAAATTTTCCTTTGAATATTTTCATTAAACAGTTGCATCTAGGGTAGAGCATATCCAGTGTTCTTGGGGTCAGCATTTCAGAAGGGGTATTAGAGATGAATTAGAGACCATGAGTACAGACTACCCCCCCCCCCCCCCCACTTCTTTTTTGAGACGGGATCTTGCTCTGTTCCTTAGGCTGGGGAAATCACAGCTCACTGCAGTCTCTCAACCTCCTGGGCTCAAGCGATCCTTCCACCTCACTCTCCCGAATAACTGGGACTATAAGCATGTATTACCATGCTTGGCTAATTTTTTAAAATTCTTTTGTAGAGACTGGGTCCTAGTATGTTTCCCTGGCTGGTCTTGAATTCCTGTGTTCATGCGATTCTCCTGCCTCAGCCTCCCTAAGTGCTGGGATTACAACCAGTCCATACCCCTTTTTAAGAAAGCAAGAGGCCAGGTGCAGTGGCTCATGCCTCCCAACACTTTGGGAGGCTGAGGTGGGAGGATGCTTGATCCCAGGAGTCCAAGACCAGCCTAGGGAACATAGCAAGGCCACATCTCTACAAAAAAATACAAAAATTAGCTTGGTATGGTGGTGTGTACCTGTGGTCCTAGTTTCTTGGGAGACTGAGGCAGGAGGATCACTTGGGTCCAACAATTCAAGTCGGCAGTAAGCTATGATCATGCCACTGTACTTTAGTCTGGGCAACAGAGTGAGAACCTAAGACAAAAAAAAAAAAAGAATGATAAAGGGAGTCAGAAATAACCTGCTGGAGGCCAGGTGTGGTGGCTCATGCCTGTAATCCCAGCACTGTGGGAGGCTGAGGTGGGGGGATCACCTGAGGAGTTTGAGACCAGCCTGGCCAACATGGTGAAACCCCATCTCTACTAAAAATACAAACATTAGGGCTGAGTGTGGTGACTCATGCCTGTAAACCCAGCACTTTGGGAGGCCAAGGCAGCTGGATTGCTTGAGGCCAGGAGTTCAAGACCAGCCTGGCCAATGTGGTGAAACACCATCTCTACTAAAATAACAAAAATTAGCCAGGCAGGGTGGTGCACACCTGCAATCCCAGCTATGCGGGAAGCTGAGGTGGGAGAATTGCCTGAACCCGCTACTGCACTCCAGCCTGGGTGACAGAATGAGACTCTACCAAACAAACAAACAAACAAACAAAAAAACAGAAAGGAAAAAAGAAAGAATCTGCTGGAGAAACAAAGCTAAAGGAAACTTTTATTTTGTTTGTGTTTAGGATAGGGGTAGCTGAGAACACTTGTAGCTGAAGGAAAGCAAAGAGAGAAAAAAATTGAGGATATAGATAAGAGAAGAAATGATAATAATCATGATTAGCTTTTTGTTTTTCAGGAAGACATAATTAATGAAGTGAGACCTCAGAAAAGCCGTAGGGGAAGTTGACAAGTACACACAGAGCAGGGCTAATTTTGGAGAAGAGAAAAAACACCTGTCCGGGCACAGTGGCTCGTGCTTGTAATCCCAGCACTTTGAGAGGCTGAGGCAGGAGGATTACAAACCCAGGAGCTGGAGACCAGCCTGATAAGAGGGAGAAATCCTGTCTCTATAAAAACTTAAAAATTAGCTGTGTGTGGTGGTGTACACTTGTGGTCTCAACTACTTGGGAGGCTAAGGTGTTGAGGCTGCAATAAGCCATGATCATGCCATTGCACTTCAGCTTGGGTGACAGAGTGAGACCCTGTCTCAAACAAAAAAAACACCCGGGGCCGGGCGCAGTGGCTCAAGCCTGTAATCCCAGCACTTTGGGAGGCCGAGGCGGGTGGATCACGAGGTCAAGAGATCGAGACCATCCTGGTCAACATGGTGAAACCCCGTGTCTACTAAAAATATAAAACATTAGCTGGGCATGGTGGCGCGTGCCTGTAATCCCAGCTACTCAGGAGGCTGAGGCAGAAGAATTGCCTGAACCCAGGAGGCAGAGGTTGCAGTGAGCCGAGATCGCGCCATTGCACTCCAGCCTGGGTAACAAGAGTGAAACTCCGTCTCAAAAAAAAAACAGCCGGGTGTGGTGGCTCACGCCTGTAATCCAAGCACTTTGGAAGCCAAGGTGGGTGGATCACCTGAGGTTGGGAGTTCAAGGCCAGCCTGACCAACATAGTGAAACCCCGTCTTTAAAAAAAAAGAGTAAGTGTTGCCATAGGTAACCTCAGAAGTGAAGATGTGTTCTAAAGGACTGTCTCCATCTCCTTGGTGAATTATGAGGTCTTACCATTTGCAGACAATGAGTACGGTGTGGGCTTTCTTATTTTCTTTGATTATAAAAACTTCACAAAACTAGTAAGAGGAAAATAAAGATTTTATAATTCCACTGGGCTCACTTTGGACCCATGTGAAACTGATCACAGCAGCATCACCACATTTTTTTCCTTTCTCTCTTTTTTTATTTTTCTGAGACAGAGTCTCAGTCTTGCTCTGTCATCCAGGCTGGAGTGCAGTGGCTCGATATCAGCTCAGTGCAATCTCCGCCTCCCAGGTTCAAGCGATTCTCATGCCTCAGCCTCCTGGGAGCTGGATTACAGGCATACACCACCATGCCCAGCTAATTTTTTGTATTTTTACTAGAGATGGGATTTTGCCATGTTGCCCAGGCTGGTCTTGAACTCCTGAGCTCAGACTATCTGCCCTTCTCAGCCTCCCAAAGTGCTAGGATTACAGGCGTGAGCCACCTTGCCTGGCCTGTACCACATTTCTTGAAACCCCATTTTTACCTTGGTTTGGTCAGGATCACAAAGGTCCAGAAGGGTGTCACAGACATGATAACCTAAGGACTTCAGATCTTCAATGGTAAAGTGGGTGCCTTTTTTACTACCTGGAAAAAAAAACCCCACGAACATTTCCAATTAAATCTTAATGACTGAATGCAAATCTAATTTATGATTATCTTTTTAAAAATACCACCACTGGCCAGGCACAGTGGCTCATGCCTGTAATCCCAGCACTTTGAGAGACCAAGGCAGGCCCTTTGCGGGAGCCTAGGAGCTCAAGACCAGCCTGGGCAACACAGTGAGACCTTGTCTCTACAAAAAATACAAAAATTAGCCTGACACTGTGGCATGTGCCTATAGTCCCAGCTACTCAGAAGGCTGAGGCTGGAGGCTAAGGCAGGAGTATCACCTGAGCCAGGGAGGCAGAGGTTGTAGTGAGGTGAGATTGTGCCACTGTGCTCCAGCCTGGGTAACAGAGAGAGACCCTGTCTCAAACAAACAAAACAAAACACCTCTGATTCTAGAAAATTATGCTTCAGGAGAGTGTAGCTGTCCTAATTTTAGTTTGGTTCAGAAGAATCTTTGGCAATGAAAAAGATTACAATCATGATGGTTCTAATTACTGAGGTTTTTACTTTGTGTTAAGCACTATGGCAAGTGCTCTCCAAGCATCATCTTACTAGGCAGTACCTACAATGCAAGCACTACTATTACTGCCAGTAAAAGAAAAGTGAGGCTGGGCGCGTGGTTGCTCATGCCTGTTGTCCTAGAACTTTGAGAGGCTGAGGCAGGAGGATTGCTTAAGCCAGGGAGTTTGAGACTAGCTTGGGCAACATAGGGAGACTATGTCTCTACAAAAAATTAAAAAATTAGCTGGGCCAAGACGGGCAGATCGCTAGGTCAAGAGATCAAGACCATCCTGGCCAACATAGTGAAACCCCATCTCTACTAAAAATACAAAAAAATTAGCTGGGTGTGGTGGCACACGCCTGTAGTCCCAGCTACTCGGGAGGCTGAGGCAGGTGAATTGCTTGAGTGCAGGAGGCGGAGGTTGCAGTGAGCTGAGACTGTGCCACCGCACTCCAGCCTGGCGCCTGTCGACAGAGCAAGACTGTGTCTCCAAAAAAAAAAAAAATTAGCTGGGCACGGTGATGTGCACCTGAGTCACAGGTGGGACTAAGAGGCTAAGGTGGGAGAATCACTTGAGCTGGGGAGGTTGAGACTGCAGAAAGCCATGATCATGCCACTGTACTCTAGCCTGGGTGAAAGAAACCCTGTCTCAGAAAAAAAGAAAAAGGAAGGAAGGAAGGAAGGAAGGAAAGAAGGAAGGAAGGAAGTTAGGTAATTCAAAAAGGTTAGATAATTTACCCAAGAACACAAAACTTGTTAATGGAGCTGAAACTCAACCCCCTATCAGCCTGATTCCAGGTATTTAGCAACCACTAATCCATACTGCCCCATCAAATATTATATTTCACCTTCATACTTTGTACACTCAAATGTAGCATGTTTAGACAAAGAAATCCTCTAGATCTGTTATCTCCCCAGCATTCAAAGGCATTTCATCTCCCTGATGCTTTGCTTGGCTTTCTCTTGCCATGCTGGTCTAGGATACAAAAAGGAGAACGTACCCAGGGTGGAGCCGCCAAAGGTAGACTCCATGGTGTAGCTGTTTAGAATTCCCATCCGCCACATTACAACTCGTCCCGTTCCTTCTTTGCATTTTTGGACCTTAAAATTACAACTGTGAAAAGAGAACTAAAAAGAAATCCAAATTTTCTGTTAATCATAAATTGGCCAATATGAAAGTCTAAGATTCATTAATATGATACAAGAATAGTTTCCTTGGGGTTCATGTATTATTTCTTTTTTTTTTTTTTTTTTTTTTTGAGACAGAGTTTCGCTCTTGTTACCCAGGCTGGAGTGCAATGGCGCGATCTCGGCTCACCGCAACCTCCGTCTCCTGGGTTCAGGCAATTCTCCTGCCTCAGCCTCCTGAGTAGCTGGGATTACAGGCACGTGCCACCATGCCCAGCTAATTTTTTGTAGTTTTAGTAGAGACGGGGTTTCACCATGTTGACCAGGATGGTCTCAATCTCTTGACCTCGTGATCCACCCGCCTCGGCCTCCCAAAGTGCTGGGATTACAGGCTTGAGCCACCGCGCCTGGCCCATGTATTATTTCTTAAAGCATTTTCCATAAAATGCTCATTTGGAGGGATGTTAACAGGTATTACGGGGGAAAAAGGAGTTCTGTGGTCATGTTAGGGAGATGAAGCGTTAACAAAACTAAACAGAAAGCTTTCTCTGCAAGCCCTCTCAGAGTGTTTAATATGTGGACTGTAATCTTCCAAAGGGAAGAGAGTGTATTTGCAATTTGTTTTCCAAACTTTTTTGCCCATGAACCCTTCCTTCCTGTTGTCCCCACCCCACTTCCCCAAGGAGAATTTTGCAGGACTAGGTTTCCTAGAATATCTGTTTGGCATTCAAGGCACTAGCCAACTTTCTAGCACTTATTTTCTGCCCCTCCCCAACTTGAACCCCTAAAACTAGTTGTGCTCATCTTCTATGATATGTGTATTCTTTACCCCTGTAATCTCTGCCTGGAACTCTCTCCCCTCTAACACTAACCTTATCACTTGGAGTTCAACATCCTCCGCTATCTTTTATGATCCTTCAGCCCTTGTGTCTCACTTGGAGTTTGTAATACACACTTGGCACCTCTCCCTATTCACCCTATCCTGCTAAAAAGATTTTGCAGTTGAAAGGTATCTCATTGTCCAGTGATTTTTAAATTGTGATCTGCGGAACCCAGGGTTCTATTGAGGAGCCTCAGGGCTTTTTTGCTTCAAAGATTGAAGGAGCAAGAGGAGACAGGATTCCCTGCTTCAATTAGTTTGTTTTAGATATGGGTTCTGGGTGTGATTTCCCAAACAAAAAGAAAAGAACAAACAAAAGAGAGAAGAGAAAGAAACAAAGAAAAGGAAAGAAAGGAAAAAAGGAAAAGAAAGCAAGCAAGAGAGAAGAAAGCAAGCAAGCAAGAAAGAGCGAGAGAAGAAAGCAAAAACCTAAGAAAGAAAGATGGCTGGGAGCGGTGGCTCATGCCTGTAATCCCAGCACTTTGGGAGGTGGAGGTGGGCAGATCACAAGGTCAGGGTTTTGAGAAGAGCTTGGCCAATATGATGAAATCCCCTCTCTACTAAAAATACAAAAATTAGCCGGATGGTGGCGCCTGTCTGTAATCCCAGCTGCTCAGGAGGCTAAGGCAGGAAAATTGTTTGAACCCGGGAGGTGGACATTGCAGTGAGCCGAGATCACACCACTGCACTCTGGCCTGGGCAACAGAGGGAGACAACAACAACAACAACACCAGGCCGGGCTCGGTGGCTCACGCCTGTAATCACAGCACTTTGGGAGGCTGAGGCTGGTGGATCACAAGGTCAAGAGATCAAGACCATCCTGGCCAACATCTTGAAACCCTGTCTCTACTAAAAAATACAAAAATTAGTTGGGCGTGGTGGTGTGAGCCTGTAGTCCCAGCTACTAGGGAGGCTGAGGCAGGAGAACTGCTTGAACCTAGGAGGCCGAGGTTGCAGTGAACAAAGATGGCGCCACTGCACTCCAGCCTGGCGCCTGGTGACAAAGTGAGACTCTGTCTAAAACAAAAAAGGAAGGAAAGAGAGATAAAGAAAGAGACACAGGGCAGGCGTAGTGGCTCACACCTATAATCCCAGCTACTCAGGAGGTTGAGGCAGGAGACTAGCTTGAACCCGGAGGCAGAGGTTGCAGTGAGCTGAGATCACGCCACTGCATTCTATCTTGGGTGATAGAGTGAGACTGTCTCAAAAAAAAAAAAAAAAAAGAGGAAGGAAGAAGAGCTTCCTCTTTTCTTTTTTTAAACAAATAAGAATAACAATACAAAATGCTACTCTCATATAACTTTATGTTAAAAAACTTGTATTATCATTTACATACTTTTCTAAGGCCAGGTGCAGCGGCTCACATCTGTAATCCCAGCATGTTAGAAGGCTGAGGTGGAAGGGTCGCTTGAACGTAGGAGTTCAAGACCAGCCTGGGCAACATAGTGGGACCCCATCTCTGTGGGGGGGGAAAAAAAACTTAAAAATATCCAAGCTAGGCCAGGCAGGGCATGGTGGCTCACTGCACCCAGCCCCACAGCAATTTTTTTTTTTTTTTTTTTTTTTTTTTTTTTTTTTTT